CGCCTTCTTGAGATAGGTGAGGTGATTTATAAGTGACATGAGAAGAATCTTCAGAAAAAGTACTTATTCTTCCTCTCATTGAAGTAGCGTAGACATTGACATCTAGCTGACATTCAAGACAGGAGACTGATAATCTCGGATTATATGATGAGAAATTCCTAATGTATGATATTCTCTTTATAGCGCCCTCAACCTCAAATTGCAGAAGCGTATCGAAGTACATACGCTAAGTAAAGATTTTGCATTTAGTAGTCTGTCAAGTATTTTATTTGTCAGAGTACTTTGTCATCCAATTTACAGACATCGTTCGACAATATGTTATTCATATTCTTCGTAAAATTCACAGTAAAACCTTCAAGCTCGCTCAAGTCAAATGAGTCACTTTCTGCCCAAATCATTAATTTGTTTTCATTCATCAAAGAAAGAACGACACAGATAACAGAGGTCGATGTCCTATATTGGGATAACAGGTTTGCCACAGTTTGGAATTACGAGTCTTTTAGACATAACAGGGAAGTTGTTCCGCTCTTCACTTGAAATTAGTTTACATGATTATAGCTTCAATACCGTATTACATACGACAAGAAGATTTCACCCATCTGCTTACCTCAGACCACCGAAGAACTTCCTCCAAAATATGCCACGTTGTATGTCACTGGCTGGGGAATCGAGGACAGTAAGAAATTCGCTTTGATCGAAGGAGGCTTTACGCACTGTGTTCGTATAGTGATGGGACAGACAAGCGAAACACTGAAAGAAGCATCGATCGAAATGATTGACCGAAACGACTGCGACAAGTTTTACGATGCTGTAAACATGAAAATCGATCATCGGGCGATGTTCTGCGCCGGAGACCAGACCGGTTTTTCAGATAGTTGCCATGTAAGAGATAGTCATTTGGTAACAGCTGACAAGAACTAATTTAGGGGGACAGCGGAGGACCACTGATGTATCTCGAATATTCGACGTATCGATGGAAACAATACGGAATTGTATCCTGGGGCCATGGCTGTGCTCAGGAACAAAAACCCGGTGTATATACTAATGTCGTTTACTACGTCGACTGGATCTATAGCATCGTCAAATGATAAAAGCCTCACGATAACGGTATGATATTGTCTGAATAACGGAATGATGCCTGATTTATAGTAGTGTTCATTCTGTTTAAACGTAATCACAAACTGCAAGTAAAACAAAGAATAAGCTACATAACTCAGTAATGATGAAAATATTCTGAACACGTGCGTAAAATCGTTTTCGCTGTGTACTTCTTAACCATTAAGCTATCACTGAAGTAATCCAAAAACAGTTAAACAACAAATGACACTGGTTGATCATAATTCATACTACGCTTTGTAAAAGAATACTTAAAGTACGATGCTTAAAGTACAAAGTTTGGTAAAATAACTATGGACTAGCTTATGCATTTATCCTCAAAGGAAGTAAGGTAAAGATGTCTTGCTGTCCAACGACATACCGTTTCCTTAATTGTGAATGACTTAAAGCAGTACTTCAAGCTTACTGGTTTGAAAAACAGTGGTTTCTACTAGCACAACTAACCTAAAGAAAAAAGGCATCGAAACTCTACAGAATCTCAAAAAAAATAAAACAGTGATGCATAAAACAGGCATAATACAGTATCAGTTCCAATGGATAAGCTATTTACAGTCAGCTGTCTGTGATGTTCCCGAAACCGTAGGCTAGAGGCAGAAACTGTTCAACGTAATAGTTCTTTACGAGATTCAGCCTTAAATCGACCCTTAAATCGACTTCAGGTTTGAGAAGTTATATCATTGTATCACACTGTGATTGGACAGGCCAGGCTGGCAAAACAAAGTTTATTAAATGCGAAACCGACCAAAGCAAAAAACTGTTTCGTTTATTTTACCAAAAACAGCGAATTTTACTGCGCAATGTACTATAGCAACAGTACACGTGTTCGAACAATTAGTAATCAGGCGCGAAGCCCTTAGTTGAAGATAATTTATCTCAATTACTCAAAAGACGAGTGACTGCATATTCGCCGCCATAGTCGCCCAATAACCAGTCAGTGAAGAACTTCGGCAGCTTAAGTTCCATCAAAAGAGGCGCTGGCAGATACCTCAACCCAGGAAAGTACTCTACCATTTTGTGACAGCAGTACAGTCGAAGTGGGCTAGGAGTGAGCCATAGGCCCACCACGCGATTCGTTCGTTGTCTGCCCTCCAAGTCCGTCACTCCACCGAATATGATCAGAAAGCCGCTCTGAAATTGCTAAATTAACTCATCAATGTAATCGATTCAGAATGAGTAAATATATTTTTTAGAAACAGACCTTTCCGTGATTTAATCCTTTGCTTGTGTCAGCGTGTTACTTCTAAGTGTCAGTTAGTATCAGTGCAGAAAATAGAAAATTATTTAACACGATGTAATCGATAGCTTGGAAATTTGATCATCATGCCAGAGGAAGAAGCTTCAGACTCTAGATAAGCGAACTTTCGAAAAAGACACGTGGAAAGCGTGGACGGATGAGAAAAAGCTTCCAGCATAGTGACTACCTGGAAACGGGCCTTGGAATCTAACCCACCAATCTTACACTTGGGTCTGTTGACCAAATTTCCCAAAACTGTAGTCCTCACAGTCAATGGACTCTAAAAATGAATGAACAGTTAAATCGATGGTTTAAGTGCATATATATTGTTGTCCACTGCCATTTTGTTCGTTATAGATTTTTAGACAAAGTTATTACGTGTTATATTTTCTAGTCCAGCAACGATTAATTGGATTTTCTGCCTAATTTATGCAACAGTCGTACTAATGCATTCAAAGTGTAGAGAGCATGGTAAAAATATTTAATTTAGCTTTCTTCAAGAAATAACAGGACGGCGGCTCCAGTCCTAGCTGCATTACATAACCTCTATTTCTCGCTATATTCATCTCGAGAAGTAGCACCTTTTAGGCTTTTAATTAAAACTGATTACATTGGAGAAGACCTCACTAAGCGCTTCCATTCTAAATCTCGATGGACTGGTTGAAGGATGTTGAGAACGAAGGCTGTGGTTCATAAAGGTTGGCACCCTTGCCCATGAAACGCGAGAAAGTTACGCTACACGCGAAAGAATACCGGGACCATAAATGTAGGCTATCGCGTACGCTTCCCAAAATCTGGGATTACCTATGACCTGATGAAGTTGAAATGCGACCGACGAACGACAATGGATATCATCAAGATTTTTGTGTGGTCAAAACATCAGAAATGCTCCTCGGCATCTACATTATTCAGGTGAAGAAGGCCAAGCATATACTATGGGCATCTGTGCGAAACTCGAATATCCGCTGAACTTATTGCAAAATGGAACAAAGGTTATCAAATATTCTTCTGGAAAGCATAAGAAAACCGGACTCAGGCAGGAGGTATAGGATTCATCGTTACGAAGAGGGATGTAGCGCTTGCAGGAATGGCGACCTCATATCACAAGATATCGCCGTACTAATTCTGCTGGCGGACAAGAGAAGGTCACTAAAGATAATGGAAGTTCACAGCTCAACACAGCAAGCGTCCGACGACGAAATGGAAACTTTAATGCAAAATACGCCCAAGTACATAAGTGCATAATCGTCCAACGAAATTTCAACGCCATAACAGGAAAAGAGACAACCGAGAGAGTTTGGTGGTGCAGAGCGAAACGAACCTTATTTCCACCTCATAGCGCTTATCGAAATTAATCACTTTCATCAGTACCATCAGTGAAAAAGCTAAGATGAGTCATTAGACGTGGATGAATCCTCATGAAAAAACCTTTAGCCAAATCGATTACGTTTTGATAAACTCAAGACGGGTAATAACGGATGTTTCATTGAAGAAAAAGGGATAGACCACAGACTGCTCCGCGCTATATCACAATCGGTAAAAATCAGTCACTAAATCAAAAGTGGGTTAGAAGACCTTAGAAACCACCAGCCAAAGGACGAATGTTCGATCTCGAAGCTGTCACAGACAAGTTTCCTCAGATGCACCTCACAATAGACATCAACAGAGGCGTCAATGCAAACTATTAGCACCTCATCGACTCAATCAAAACAACCATCAGGTAAACCAGCTAGTCCTGCAACGAGGCAGCCATTCACCAGAAGAACTAGAATAAAGGCTGAT